GCCATGGGTCTAAGTGGAAGATAAACCATATAGGAAATGAATATTTCCAGCCACTACTGGTTCACCTCCTCCTTCTCTACTCCCAGATAGGAATAAAGAAGATGTGAACTAGAGAGGAAATGGAGAGTTGGCTGGAAAGGGGCTGCATCCTGTCCATGCCCAGGTCAAGTCTCAGGGGTAAAAGAAGATAGATCCCCCTTAAGTTTTGGGGACCCAAGAATAGAGAGCTTGTGCCTCATTCTCATGGAAGTCCTAGGGAGCCGATGAGCCTCATGGGGAAAGCCTCCACATTATCACGGTGCCATAGCCACAGGGTAGATATAATGCTATGATATGGCCAGGCATGAGAGAGTTAGAGAGAGCTTCTTGGGTTTTCTATGGCTCCAAAGCAGTATGGAAGAACTTCCGAAATTTCCCTTTATTACCCTAAGTGGGATGTCAAAGTCACCTTGCAGGGAAAGAACTACTGGGCCTATAAATACGCAGCACAGCCAGTACTAACGGGGACCGATTGGGTGAAGGCACCACCATAGCTCAGTGGACTGCCAGCTTGGGATGTGGTTGAAGACTCAATGGGGAAAGTTACACTCTGAGCAGGAGACCAGCATAAGACCAATAGAGATCAAGATCAAGAAGCTGTTGTCCCCCATCTACCAACACTGAACTTGTATTAGCCCTTGGAGCGTTGCATCAATCCTAGGGAGAAGAAAAAGAAAATCCTGAGTTTTAAACCTGAAATGATGTGAGAAGTCACTGAATTTAACTGAGGTTATTTTTTACTACACCAACTAAAATGAGGGCTTGAGATAGAAATGAAGCTTAGTAAGAGGAAAATTTGAAGTTACATTTTTGCATCTCTGAGTCTAAGCCAATGAAACCTATACCCATTATTGTTGCTTTGCCCCCCACGTATTTGTCACCCCACTTCCCTTGGGTGACAGAGCCACAAAGGATTACTCAAAGCCTATCTCTTCTGAGCAGTAAGAAGCTCCGAAGTGGTTAACTTCCCTGGAACCCTCAAGCAAGAGGCATCCCTTCCTTGGGAAATTAACCCTGAATTGGGGTTTCCTTCCTGCATTTATTCTTCAGCCCAGGAAGTTACAGCAAGAGACACAGGTGGGATTACAGTTTAACAATATAGGCTGGTAACTTTCAGTGAAACAAGTGAGAGGACATTCCAGTAAGGCAATTGAGTGATCCATTAACAAAAACTTGATCTTAGCAAACATTCCTTCTCCTTCCAGCACCTTCCCAGTATCTATACATATCAGTCAGTAACTAGTCTGTCTTTGAGCCAGCAACCTTGCTGTTTTACAAATCTTTATCTTACACCAGAGACTTTATAGCCTGAGGAAAATTTCCTGTCCTTTGCAAGGTCAATATTTGAAACTGCAAGGCTTTGGAAAACCAGGCCCTGTGAAGTACATTTGCTTTAAGAATCCTCTACACATTATGGTGATTGTTAAGCCACTTGCAAACTTTCAGACAAATTCATGTAAAGTTATTTCTATGTAAAACATAACTTCAGTTCACTCGCCCTCCGACTATAGTTGGAGCCCATGAGAGTTGGGCATTGAAGGGAAGTCAGTCACAGATACAGGCAGTACTTGTTCTGAGGATCCAAATATATAATACTCCCTTACCCTGCTGTTTTTCAAAAGATGGACGCAGCACCACCTGCCTTAGAGTCAGATGAGTGTTTGTTAAAAAATTAGATTCTCGAGCCTCACCCCAGATCCACCGATTCAGAAAGACTGGGACATGGAAATCTGAATTTTAATAAGTATCTAGGTGATTCTTATGAATGCTAGCAGCTGAGAATGACTGCCTTAATAAATGATGATACCAGAGTTCTTTAGGCAAGGTAGCCTAATCCTGAGTGAGAGAGAATGTACATTTTCCGATTTTGTTATTCTATCCACAACAACCAGCATTTACCTTCTAGGTATTTCCAGAGTCTGCTTTCAATTAGACATATTGACCTAAGATACACAAGGCCTTTCCCAAACATTACCTCCTTTTAAAAATAAAATGGAGATAAGATGAAGAAGCCAACAGTACAGAAATCCTAGAGGAAAAATTAAAGGTGCACTTTGGACTAAGGGAACTTAGTAGAATCAACAGCTTGGAGAGCAAAACACGTGAGCTCCTCCAACTTAATTGAACGAAATGATGCAATTCTTTGGGCAAATGTTAAACCTGTGAAGCCTGGGTTGCTGAAAGACACCTTAGATTTCAAAGTTCAACTTTCTTTTTTTTTTGGCAGCAGGCCAGTACAGGAATCTGAACCCTTGACCTTCATGTTATAACACTGCACTGTAACCAGCTGAGCTAACAGGCCAGACCTGAAGTCCAACTTCTTTTAGAGTCTATAGCAGAAGTCCCAGCATCCTTAAAAGGTGGCCCATTCCATTGGTAAGTGACTCGTAATGGCAGGAAGTCTCAAAGAATGGGTGATGTGTTGCTAGAGGATGCTTAGAAACAGGCATGGTACAATTCTTCCCCACAGTCACTGAGAACCATTGGTATAAAGCTGATTGTTTAGAGTAAAAGGTGCATTCCTTAGGGACTTGGAACAGATGAATCAGAAATATACATGAATGAATAAATCACCTTCTCTTTTATTAGTCAGGATCTCCTAATATTTTACAAATAACTATCTCCCCAACTAAGTCACAGGAGACTTGCTCTCAGGATTCCTCATGTCTCCCTTCACCTCTACTCTCCCATATCTGAGTCACAATCCAGAGAGAGGCATGGGTGGGTAACAAGGTGAGAAGAAGTGCCCTCACCAGCACAAGGTGCAGGGCAGGCAGCCAAGACCAGGAAGTGCTGTGAATCTGTTTAGTGCCCACTGGGTGAACGTAGGAAGATATTAAGCAGCTTCTAATTTCACAATAATAATGTCTCTTGGCAGTGGCAATTCTGAGGTGATCAAATTCTAAGTGGCTTATGAACTTGGGGTGTATGGGAGTTGTTTTCATTAGAGGCTGATTATTTGCAGGGATGTATTTCCATTTCATTCTTCGGAAGTCCTTCAAAGTATAAAAAAGGAAGAGGAAAGGAGTATGGGAAGAAAGAAGGAAGGAAAAAAAAGGATTACGCAACTTAGACAAAGGAAATACATTCCAGGCTTGGAAAGTTTTAGGGACCCCAAAGGCAATGACCTTGCTTCTCCAGGGCATAAGAGGAAACCTGAAGTCTAAAGTTCAGTTGGGAACTGGAGAGTACAGGATGAACTGACCAGAGCCTTCCTGAGCGATAAGGCCATGAGAAGTTTGAATGTTTTAAATGTGTACCAAGCTGAGTGACTGTACAACCACACTTATGATTCATCTCAATATTTAAACTTCTGATCACCTTACTTCTCAGGAAGCTCAGATGTGTACAGAGAAAGGTGGAGAAGGAGAGATAGTAGGACTCTAGAGAGACTGTGGCTGGCCAGTTAGCACAGTTGGTAAGAGTGCAGCCTTATAAAACTAAGGTCGTGGGCTTGGATCCCTGGCCAGCCACCAAAAAAAAAAGAGTGACAAGGGAAGCCAAGAGCCTCCCAGGGACAGGAGAGGCTGGTTCCTTTGTTACTACTTGTCTGCTACTTNATTCTTCGGAAGTCCTTCCAAGTATAAAAAAGGAAGAGCACAGGAGTATGGGAAGAAAGAAGGAAGGAAAAAAAAGGATTATGCAACTTAGACAAAGGAAATACATTCCAGGGTTGGAAAGTTTTAGGGACCCCAAAGGCAATGACCTTGCTTCTCCAGGGCATAAGAGGAAACCTGAAGTCTAAAGTTCAGTTGGGAACTGGAGAGTACAGGATGAACTGACCAGAGCCTTCCTGAGCGATAAGGCCATGAGAAGTTTGAATGTTTTAAATGTGTACCAAGCTGAGTGACTGTACAACCACACTTATGATTCATCTCAATATTTAAACTTCTGATCACCTTACTTCTCAGGAAGCTCAGATGTGTACAGAGAAAGGTGGAGAAGGAGAGATAGTAGGACTCTAGAGAGACTGTGGCTGGCCAGTTAGCACAGTTGGTAAGAGTGCAGCCTTATAAAACTAAGGTCGTGGGCTTGGATCCCTGGCCAGCCACCAAAAAAAAAAGAGTGACAAGGGAAGCCAAGAGCCTCCCAGGGACAGGAGAGGCTGGTTCCTTTGTTACTACTTGTCTGCTACTTGGGAGGGAACATGGCCTGTGTTGCTGCTTCTTACTGTCTCTTTCTCTTTGTACCTGAGGGTCTCTGACCTGATTTTTCCCCTTTCTTTCAGCCCTAGGCTAACTCTAGCCCACCATTCTTCCCTTCTATTTACTTTTTTTTTTTTTCCTTTTTGTCTTTTTTTGTGACCGGCAACGGGATCGCAACCCTCGGTGTCACACCTGCACCGTGCTCAACCAGTCAGCGGACCAGTCTCTATATGGGATCCGAACCCTCGGCGGGAGTGCCACCGCGCTCCCAAGCGCTGCACTCTACCGAGTGCGCCACCGGGCCGGCCCGTACTATATTGTTTTGAAATATGTATACATTGTGGAATGGTTACAATGAGCTAATTAACATATGTGTTACCTCAGTGGTTATCATTTTTGTAGTGTGAACACTCAAAATCTACCGTCTTAGCAATTTTCAAGTATACAATATATTGTTATTAACTACAACAACCATCTTGTACAATACAACTCTTGCACTTATTCGTCCTATCTGACATTTTGTATCCTTTGACCAACACTCCCCGGTCCCCTCCCCGTCGCGAGTCCCCGATAACCGTCACTCTACTCTCTGCTTCTATGAGTTCAACTTTTAGATTCCACATAAAAGTGAGATCATGTGGTATTTGTTTTTCTATGCCAGGCTTATTTTACCCACCGTAATGTCCTCCACGTTCATCCATGTTGTCACAAACACAGGATTTCCTTCTTTTTTAAGGCTCAATACTATTCCATTGTGTATATATACCACTTTTTTTAAAAATCCATTCATCCGTTGATGGACACTTTGGTTGATCTTCTTCCCTTCTGAGTCCTACCATCCCCTCTAATAAGCCCCTGAGCCTATAATGCCTCAAGTCTCTCCTTGTCGTCCAAACCATTTTAGAAAACCAGAGTGACAGGCATTCAAACAGGTGAAATATACCCATGAAACTCACCCTGGCATCCCAACTGTCCCCAGAGCCAAAGACAGTGGTAACGTATCTGGCCACTCTGCAGGCAGCTTTTCCAGTTCTTTCCCATCAGAAATGGAGTGCGTTGTCCAGCCTTGAAAAGCCAGTACAATACTTCCTGTCGGAAAGGCTGAGTTTTTACTTTCCACAACTCTGAAAGATAAAGCACAGGAAGCATGTGACACTCTTCCCTTTCAAGGGAGTCAGGATGCTGTGTGGTTAGTGTCCACAAAAGGGCACTGAGGCTGATATCCCATGACGGACACCCTACCCCACCTCTCCATCTTAATTCTGAGCCACTGGATTGGGGCCGTCAGAGAAAAGAGCCCTCTCTACCGGTCTGGGGTCCGCCTCTGCTCTCACTCGCTTCCCTTCTTTTTAAGCAAGAGACCTCCGTCCTCTGCCTCAACATGACATGAGCCTCTTCGCTTCCTCAGCAGCCACCCTCTATCCTTTAGCCCCCCTCTCTCCTGTCCCTTTTCACGTAAGCACCCTCAGGTCTGCCATTCTGTAATCCTGTCCTCTCCCCTCCTCCTCCCTTCTCCTCCTCCCTTCTCCTCCTCCCTGCACAGCTGAACTTATCCCTCCCCATTCACTCGGCAGGGAACACGCTGCGACCTGCCTGCCACCCCCACTGTGGCACTAAGGTCATAACCACCTCCTGATTGCAAAATCCACTGGATATTCTTTAATCATTATCCGATTCGACCTTCGTACACTGTCCGACACTGTAGGCCACCCAAAACTCTTCCCCTGCTGCTTTCCAGGAAACTGATCTCTGCGGGCTTTTCGCCTTCCCTGTCCAAGCTCCCCTGTTCTGTCCCATTTACTGATTCCCTTTGTCTCATCTTCTCCTACTCTTACCCTTCTTTATTGTCTTCCCCACAGATCATAAAGTGATATAACCCGTTTATTCTAGAAAATTTAAAACATGTATAATAAAAAAACCAGTTCTAATCCAACAATACAAAGATAGCTACTAATATGTGCGGTATTTGATGGCAATCTTAATGATATACTTTAAAATGTATATGAGGGCACTTCAAAAGTTCATGGAAAGATTTGTATTATCTTTCAATTCTATTTTTCCATGGACTTTTTGAAGTACCCTTTTATTATATGTACTTACATAATGAAGTAATTTTATATGTTTTGTAACCTAATTTTTCTTTCATTATACT